GCCGTGGTTGCAAAACCCTGGTTTAATTTAACACGATAGGATGTATAAAGATTCCATTTACATCTATAGACTGTTACATCTTTTCAATATAATATAGTCCAGAGTACAAATGACTGGCTGAAATGAACCAAAAGTAGAAAGGGGGGGACCCAAAGAACTGTAAAAGGACAAATGGGCTTAATAAGAACATGTAAATGGCGATAAAAATCACCACTGTGAGTCACCAGAATCACCTTTACTTGCTAACCAGTGCCTGGGGTGATAATCTGTGGTTGACTTCAGCACCTAACCCACAGCAGAGCTTGTGGGATGTCACTACATAATTCCATTTCCTCAACCCCAAATCAGTTAATGTCTGTTAAGGTAATTGGGTTTTTACCTGGAAACAGGACTGAGTATACCCTGTAGGCAATCAGAATACTTTTTTTAATTTTCTGCTCATTTCCCCATCCACCTTAGGGACTTGGTATTTTTTTTTTTTTACAGGGGGACTAGTTTAAATGACCAGAATTTGCATATATAGACTTTTATTATTTTACATGTATTTACATGTATTTTACATGTACCTTATTAGCCTTAAAGAATTTACTTAGTACAGATCTAGAGTTTGAATATTTGAAATTCAGTGACAAAAAGAAATCTGTAACGTTTTGAAAACCCTGATCAAATTTTAAAGCATTTCACATTATGATCCAAATAGAAGACCTAGGCAGATACAATATGGTTTCCCTAAAATATGCTTAAAACTATTTCTTTACAGTCTAAAGTTAGAGTTACTAATTAATCTTTTTTAATTTAAAAAGTACAGCAAACTGCCAGAGAAAGTAACTTGTCCTTAGTATTTTATAACTAATAGGTTTTAGAGTAGGGTTTACAAGATGCAGTTAAGTTATTCCCATCATTTTAAAGAAACTTCAGATACTTGATACAGATCAACCACACAATAGAAAAAGACAGCAGCAGATATAAATAAACAATTCACAGATGAAAGAAAAAAGAAATGGCCCTTTTACATAAGGGAATGTAAATGAAAATATGAATGAGAACTTTTTTTGGTTGGTTCTTGAATTGGCAAGGACGAGTGACCCTCTTGTCTGCTGCTTGTGAGCACTTAAACTTGTATTCCATTTTAGAGGATTAGTTGGGTGATACCTCTTAACAGATAAATTTGTACACTTTTGACCCATCAGTTAAATTTCAAGGAATTATATCCAATAGAAATATACAAATGCACTAAAATTCAGTATAATATTAAGCCACTGGAACTTACCCAAATGTTAATCAGTGGGAGATAGGTTAAGAAAATTATAGTATGGCCATACATGAAACTGTTACCCGTCTGTAGAAGAAGTGAGATTGATTTCTATGCAATGATATGGAAAGATATTCAAGGTGTATAAAGTGAGAAAAGATCAGGAGTGGGACATTAACTTAGCAGCATTACCTCTGAAAATGTTTGAGGTCCCCCCCCCTTTTCTAAAAGTGTAAAACAAATCTGTATTAGAAGTATAAAATTTTAATTTGTGAATTTTTTTAGTGACAAAATGAAACTCTGTGAGTGGAAGAGTACACATTGTGTTGTTCCATTAGGTAAAATTAGAGTAGAATTTGCTAAAAAGAAAAGCTTCAGCATATAAAGTGAAGCACTTGTGTGTTCTTGGCCATTTTAGACACTAACCATCTGGAACAACCATATTGCTCTTGCTACTCAATGCTAAGGTAATGTTAAAAAAATAAAAAAATTATTTGACTTTACTAGTGCCTCACAGTTGCTGGTGGAATAAGACTGACACCATGAGCTGTGTCATCTAAAAGGTACCTCAGAAGGGCTTTCAGTTCTCTGTATTCATTGCTAAACATAGATCTTAGTGAATTCAGACATTCTCTGGCCCTTTGGTCTTTAAGCATAAGGAATAGTGTTCCAGGGTCAAGAGTAGGGACTTTGCCGCAGAATTCAGTGAGGGGCAATAAAAAGGACCACTGTATTCTAGAACGTGAAGGATAGAGGATGCTGCTTCTAGTAAAAGGAAAAAGTGAAGCCCCTTCACAAGAAAAACGGGTAGAGCAATAACTTCAAATTACACTGAATTCCTTTTTCATTAAATGTAAGTCATTTGCTCTTTGAACACGTCGTGTGCTAGAAAGAGAAAAACAGGAGACTAGGTTTTCAGTTTGGGACCCAGTATCAGTTTACTTAAGCACCGATCTCAACAGGACGTAAGCCTTCAGAGAAGTGCCGGCTTCCGGGTTCTTTATAGTTTCCCAGACTCTTTTACTTTTGAGGCATCAGCCTGATACGGTGAATATCTGGGGATTTTTAAGGTTAGTAGGGTTTGTCTTAAGAATGCAGACGGTGATAAGAGCAGGTATAACTTAATTCCTCTGCTGTGTTAACCTGCACTTCCTACTACCTCTGGTTCCTTTTGTAGGGGACTGAGAAAAAAGTTCCTTTCGGTGCGGAGGAAAGTTGAACATACGTGGTTCAGGTTTTTGTTTTTTTTTTTTTGTTTTTTTTTTTCTGTTTTCCTTCTGGCCTTTATTCCCATATAATCGATAATCACTGATGTTTTAGTGTATTGAGGAACTCAGCTTGCTGGGTAGTGGAACAAGAGAGTAGTTCTGCCTCCGCCCAGGACGCCTCGTGTGTTGTGACAGACTTGACGCTCCACCTCCCCAGTTCTTAATTAAATTAATTATTCCATGACTCAGAAGATATCCTGGTGGTGTGAGGGCCCAGAATACTGGAGTTATATTCAATCAACTATAATATTTTCTTTGTATATAAGAGAAGAAATAACTTGGTTAATACGGGCATACCTGTATCATTTAGCTTAAAATCAACCTTCAAGGTTAGGTGATCATTAAGGCATTTTTAGCACAACTTTTTCAGACTCCATCTAAACTGAGAAATTACTGAAAACATGTTACAGCAACTTAAAAGTGGTAAAAGAATACATTATTTTTGTGCACTTTAGGGTATTTCCTCTTAAAGGAAGCTTTTCCAATGAAGAGGCTTTTCTCCCTATAAAGAATATTCCTCACAATTGATGGATTCTCATTTCTTGCTTAAGTATAATAATCTGGATCGTTGGCTATAAAGAAGTTTATCTTATCATCTATCCTTTCCTTCACTAATGTAGTAAAATGTCTGTCAGAAACGCCACACAGTCTTGTTTAAGAATTGTTTGTTGCCTTTCCTCGTAAGTCTCTTCCGGGGAGGAACAGCGGTGTGCTCAGCCCTCTTTGGGGAAACTACCTACCTTTCTCTTTTCTTGCAGTGGGCATAAGCTCTCCCTGGTTGGTTTTCCCATGTATATATAAAATTAAGAGAGAAAACATAAAAGATGAAAAGCTATAATTTTATAGAGTCTCAAAGAACTGGTATGTAGGTGGAAGGTTGACAGACTTAAACTTTTCTTGTTCTCTCTCCAGAAAACAGAGAATATGTATCACAGCAGGAGTTTCATTGGGTGTAAGAAAGCGTACTAGAATACGTGCTGGAGTACTGACATGCATCAAATGTAGCAGGATCTATGAATTCAGTTTGTACTTATAATTTTGTCAAGTTTGTTATTTATATTTTAGCATCACCTGAAAAGTCCAATTACATTAAATCCCAAGGGATAGTCCCAGTACTTTCTTTAACTGATTATTTTCATAAGGAATTTTACTCCGATAATGATCCATCATTGGGACTTAGAATTTATTTTTTTACAGAGAATATTGAAATAGGTTTAGAGGTTCGTTGACAAAAAAGTATTTTTAAATACTGTGAAGCACTAGTGTCATTGGTACAGAAATAGAGAAATAGAATTCCCCTATGAAAATGAGAGCTTCTTTAAGAAAATGAAGCATTTCGGGTTCATTACTGGTATTATTTTACCTTGCTGGCTTATGCCACTGTATTCTGAATGGGGGAAAAAGCAAAACTCTTTTAAAACTGTCTCAAGAATTATCTGAGGATTAAATTTAATCCTCAGATACTTTTGTATTTAATGGTTATTGTATAAAGGATCGGTTACATATTTGAACAGTTTACACGACTTTGTAGCCTAACGTTTCAGAATGCCAACTTTAATATTAAAATGAGGATATTTTACAAGCCCTCAAATGAGCAGTTTTAAACTTTGAGTCACAAGCCTTTTGGCAGGGGTATAATCCCTTTGAGAGTCCGAAGAGCCACGGGTCCTCTTCTCAGGAAAATCTGTAATTTTGCCTCTAGTTTCAGGGATTTCTTCGAGTCCCCAGAAATCCATCTCTGGACACTCTCGGGTCAGTTTAAAACCTCACCTCAGGTTACCTTGTTGATATGAGAAACCTCTATTCACATACATTTGTAGGCATAGGCATTTAACAAATCTTTTTTGGAGAGTTCTTTAAAATCTATCTTGAGGATTATTTTAAAAAGTAATAATATCCTTAGTCTCAAAGGCGTAGTCTTCCGAAGTTAAGCTAAGTGAACCATTAAACACCTCCATTGCTACTTAAAATACCAAATAGGTGACTCCTTTTCCACTTTTTCTTGGCAAAGATTTTCTCTTAGGATCTGTAGAAGAGTTTATGGTCACCTAAGGATGTAAAGATTTTCATTAAGGGATTAAATTCCTTTCCTTCGTGTAATAAAATCCTGACATACTTGAAGACTGGTAGCATTCTAATTGAATTTTCAGTTAACTCAGTACTGACCAGACGATTTTACACTGAAAATTTTTTCAGCCTGTTAGTAACAGTGCTTTTGGATTTTGTCAGATATAGGTTATTATAGAGTTTATCATTATACAGAGTTACTATATCTGTATCATTTATCATTATATAGAGTTACTTTAAGAGGAACTGGAACTCCTAAGCACTGTTTATAAGTTAAATGTTCAGCCATAAACCAAAGAACAAAAACAAAACTTTACGTTTCCATTTTCTTTACTGTGCACTAAACATTCTAGGAATCTGATTGTGTCTGTCAGTTTGTATACTGTGTAAGAATATATACATTTCTTTTGTAGCCACGTCATGAATATTTTAATGTCCCTGTGTACTAAATGACTACTCGTCGTGTATGCAGAATTTCACAGAGGAAATAGAGAGCTGATATACTTATGAAAGAAAATGTCCTCAGCTTGGTGACTATCTTATATAATAGAGCATTTCAGAACCAATACCTTTACAATTGTAATTGTTTTTCCTGACTCGCTTTTCTTTTGTTTTATTTTCGTTCTATATGTGATCTTGATGTAGTTTATTCCTGCTCGCAAACTCGTTTGATTTCTTGAGATATGACCTATGAATGTTTTGTGTAGTATTTCATCTTACATACATACATGTCCTCATTTACGAACCATCTATGATTAAAGTCTCGTAAGAGGAAAATTTAGCCATCGTTAAAATGTTCACCAAAGAAAACAGTGGAAGTGCTATGGCAGAATGAGCAGTGCAGTGACCTAGCGCAGGGCTTGGTATTCACGTGTTCTGGGAGAAAAGAAGTTCTATTTAGGGACTATGATACAGCCTATATGAGCCAACATATTCTAATGTATCACAGAAAAGAGTATTTGGAAATACTTCCAAAAAGTAAAATCTATACTGTTACGTAGTATTTAAGGGTCAAACATTCCCAGTTCTTAAGTTCGTGATGCCACCTGGATTCACTCACATTTGTGCTGGCCAGTATTGGCCAGTCCCTCGAAGAGTGATCAGAAAGCTGTGTCAGAAGTCTCTGCGACAGTATCTCTCTTTGATAGGAAGTAACATTTTCAAAACGTTCATACTGACCTGGTTTATATAGTTAAAATTCTGATACTCTACTCGAATACTAATATTTTACTAGTTATGGTTTTATAGTATATAGTAAGTCTTCCTTTAAATACTTAATGATTTGTTAACTGTGGTTTTATATTAAGACTTTCAATATTGATCGTTATTGTGTATACTTTTAATAAAACATGCAACTTAATTACAAAAGGAGAAGTACCAAGTAACTCATTGTTTATAGCTAGAGAGTTTAAAGCCTAAAAGTAAGTTATCATTAAACAAATTCAGAAGCAGCTCCAACAGGCTTACCACTGAAGGAAGACCTATGAAAATGTAGAGCAGGCAGGCGCGCAGAGCAGCGCTTTCCATTCGCTATGTCCTGCGTTACATTTGAAGCATCTGGATGGGCTGTCAAATGAGAAACGTAGCTGAAAGCATTGGGAAACATTGGTCTTCCATTTCCATTTTTTCCCTCTGTCCCTCTCCCCACCCTGCAAGATGTTACTCCTCTGGTTTTAATGCTGAATACGCATTGTCCCTGCCAGTGTGCTCTGGATGCCGTGTGCTGCGCTGTAACAAGAGGTTGCCTCCTTTGTTATTTGTATACAGCTGCTTGCTTTCCATTCATAGATTCTGAAATCGCTTTTCTTGCACGTCTAAAATAAAAGTATTGCATGTACTTTGTCTCATGTGAATGACTTCTTTCTTCTCCATCCCTTTGGACAAATAATATATATTTTGGTTTTTCCAGGTAATTTCATTAAATCGTGTAAAAAAAAAACCTAAAGTGGTTAAGCTGGCAAGTTCTGTTAAGTGTACAGCTCAGTACTGTTAAGTATATCCACAGTGTTGTGCATCTGACTTCCAGAAATGTTTCCTCCTATGAAACCGAAACTGTATCCATTAAACAACTCTCCATTTCCCGTCCCCTTAGCCCTTGGTAACCACCATTCTACTTTGTTTGTAGGACTGTGACTACTTTAGCTACAAGTTCTTCTAGGTAATTTTGAGCCACAATTTCAATGTTAACATGGGAAAATAACATTTTATACTATGGGCACAATTTGTGAAAGAAACTAATGTACTATTCGTACAAGTCTCAAGGAGTAAAATGTATAAATGATTCCTTTAAGCCAGCCCTTTTAGAAAGGACACATTTTAAATAATGCATATTTGATAAGTAACATGGTTCTCTTCCTGAAATGCTATACAGGACTGCAGGCAGCGAGCACAGAAGGGAAATCGTACCAGCCCCAGCGAATAGAACGGGAGACATTTTTACATGGATAAGCGAAGAATGTTAGCCGTGTAGAGTTCAGTGTAGGCGTCTTTTAAGAAATGCAGTAAAGGCCGTATGGTGTTTTTAAGAACTATTTAACATTATCTAGGAACAAGGAGGGGGGTTAGGAGCACTGACCCTCCCAAGCAGTTGAAAACCCACATACAACATTTGACTCTCCACAAACTTCATAGCCTACTGTTGACTGGAAGCCTCACCAATAACCTCAACATTCCAGTAACACAGCTTCAGTGTACGTACTGTGCACTGTATTCCTGTAGTAAAGTACGCTGGAGCAAAAATGCTAAGAAAATCCCTAAGGACAATACACTTACATACTGCACGGTAAAAAATCTCCATATAAATGGAACCGTACAGTTCAAATCCGTGTTGTTTGAGGGTTAAATGCAAATGATTATTTTTGAATCATTTCATTTATTTATGATATATGTGATTCATGGTCTACATTCTTCGGAGTGTTGCATCTTTTCCATTAGACTTTCTTTAAAAATGATCATGAAAACTCAGACATGCTAGAAGGAACCTCCATGTGCACACCCCTCAGCTTCAGCACCCTCAACTCAGTACTCCTAGTAATAACGCCTGTTGTGTCATCTGCCTGCACCCCCCCCCCCCAGTTTTGGCCTCAGCGTTTTAAAGCAAGCCCTGGACCTCATTTCACATTCGATACCGCAGTATATACCACCAAGAGACAAAAGTACCACCACCTCCCCAAAATTAACAGTAATTCCTCATATCTTGTTTCTGGTTCAGTTTTTCCTAATTGCCTAGGAATTGCATTTCTGTAATCGGTTTACTAGAACCAGATTCCCAATAAGGCTCACATTGTATCTGGTTGATGTCTCAATTAAGTCTTTTCATCTTCAACAACTCTGCCTTCCTCCCCTGTCCCCCCCCTTTTTTAACCTGAGTCCCCCATGCTGTGGAACATCCTCCATTCTGTACTTGGTGGACAGTATTGACCTTGTTAGCCCATCCCCCATACGTATTTTGATGTAGCCCAGTTAGGCTGAGGGGTCGGGGGGGGGGGGTCAAGAATACTTCATAAAAACCCTTTTTTTCACCAAAGCTGATTTTTACCCATTTTTCATTAATAAACCTACTAAAAGATCATCATGTGAACTTCATACAGCATTGGTTTGTAATATTTTATTTAGTACTGAATGCTAAATACCTTCACGTAGGTAGGTCTCAATTGTGTTATGTTACCAGTTAACATTTTTTGAGCACTTTCTAGAAGTCAGGCACTAAGCCTTCTCTCCCTTAAATGTCTATGCATGAAGGTAAGTACTGTGATCCTTGTGTTCCAGATTAGGAAACAGGCTAGAGTTTAATTTACTTAAGATTATTACTCCATGTGATGCTTACATATAATTAAATCTAATGTATGGATTTATGGTTTAATATTTTTCTTCTCCTTGTTTTGTGCTGTACCACAATTAGGATGCAAAAGTAAGTTAATTTACTATTGGAAACTAAAAATTGCATTTTCTCCATTAAATTGTCGTATGCCTTTTAATTACAAGATTATTGCAAGTAATAACTGAACTTGACCTGGTCCTGGTTTTGTGATGTGCAAAATCAACCACTTTGGAAAATTTTTAATAATTTTCTAGATACGCCTGCTTTGTTTTTGTCTTCCTTTGACATTTAAAAATGAATATCGGTTGTGGCATAAGACAAAAATATGCCTTTGCTCCTAGAGTTTTCTTTCTCATATGTTGCCTCCGCTGAAGCCACTGGTTGCCTGGGGGTGGGCTGGGAAGGTGAGTTTCTGAAGCTACGCTGCTGGGGACAGTTAAATCAAAAACGAAGTAAAAACGCAGAGGAAGACATTTCTATAAATACATGTGACCAAAAAGGAAAAAAAAACAAAACAAAAACAAAATTATGTGAAGATTTGGGAGAACTCTGGGTTTTCCCTGGTTTTTACTTAGGGGAGGCTTTGGATTTTAAGACTAAGGTAACTTACCTTTCCTGTAGCTAATTTAATAGCAGTGATTTCCTAAATTGCCAGTGGGTTTGCCTGCTTTCTGTGTGACAGCAGCGGTGCCCAGCACACTGGTAGGTAACCACTAGTTGTTTAATGCACGCTGAAAATATCCTTCTGTGGTCTCTGACATTTGGGGCGCAGAACCCTCAATAACCGCTTGCTTTCAGTATTCGAATGTGCCCGAACCGATGACCGGCCTGCACTGTTCTCTGAAACTTGCACATCCTTCCGTGTCGGTTTCACATTCTCCGGCCTCCCCGGATCTGCTTACCAGAGTCTCACATTTTCCCTCCACAGGAAGCTGAAACCCCACGTAGTGTTCTTGAAGAAATTGGACTGACATAACTCTCCTCCCTTGTTGATGACTTCTTGTGGCATTTCACACACTGTAGATGGTCACTGCCTTCATGTCCATGTTAGCTAATGGTATAAGATGACGTCTTGTCAGTATTACTGTTTTGCTAAGCTGCTTCATTCAGGCCTACACAAATTTTTTTTTTAAAGGGAATCTTCGGTTAATCAAGTGATAACTTAAGGGACTTAAATACAAATTAGAACGATGCAGAAAAAGAAAGGTACCTTTTCTGGATATTTTAAAGTTTATAGATCTGTTTCTCCCAATCGAATCATGTTATCTATGAGAACGACAGAATCAGGCAATTTACATTCACTAATTACCGTCTTTGGCAAAGGAAACTGTTAAATTATAATATGCAACCTGGCTTTATTAAACCAAAGACTAGTGTGTAGCATTTCAGCATATCTGAGAATAAAGGGAATCGATACTCACATATCAAATGAATTAAAATTTAACTGTTTATATTGAGACTTCAGAAAAAAACCAAATTTATACCAAAGACCCTTATTGGAAACTACATACTTAAAGGGAATACACAAATGACTAAATTGAAATGATGTGTTTTACACTAAAATTTATTTCTCCAGCATTGCAAACCGGGGTTGAGGAACAGAGATGGACTGTTTAATAGTGAACACGTTACTTTTAAGGCCAAGGAACGTTCAATTCCTGAGACAGATTTCTTTCGTGGTCATAACGATTTAGTGACTTAGACAGCTTTCGAGGCCCCCAAGCAAAAACGGAAACATTGACTTACCGGAATTCTTCACAACAGTATCTGAAGAGAAGAACACATTATCTGTAGATAAGTTATTTTCTGTAAGATAAGTGTCGCTTAAGTCATTGTTTCAAGCACGACTTGTTCCTCCTGGGGTGCTTGTTATGGCCAAGTTGATTTTGCTCCCTCCACTTAAAAGTGCTGGAAACTTGAGGGCAGCTTCCTTCCCTTCCATGGCAATGCCTAGTTATCAGAAATCTTACAAAAGCAGACACCACGTTTCATGTAAAAGTGAGAGTTGAATGAGGTCAGATGACATTAGTGGGCCCTGTATTTTTTAAAGCTATACAGTTGTTTCAGTGTCAACTTTTATACATACTTCTCTGTATGTAGACACGTCTTCACGGTTTACACTTTTCACTTGTATCTGCTGGGCTGGATTAAGCTTTGTTGTGATTGTGACCAATACACATATTCAGGCCATGTTAGCACTGTCTTATCACATCACTGATTAGTTGTAATAAACGTTCGACGTACACCACTGTAGTGTGTTTTTATCTTTCTCTTTGCAAAAGTTTGTCAAACTATGGGGAGCTGCTGAAAGAATTTTAAATTTTCTCAGTAAAATGTCAAAAATTCACCTCCACGTGAAGGTGGATGCTAAAAGCACACATAAGACAAATGATGGAAGATATGTTTTCATGTACTTCAAACTCACTAAAGAATAATGTGGCTTCCACGCTGAGAGCTTATCTACACATTTATTTTCAATCAATAAATGCCGCTTTTAAAACCTTGATGCAGCCGACTTTTCTACTTTCTGAATGAGCAACTCTCATTGCTCCAGGTAATCAAAGCTACTGCAAATCAACAGAACCCCAACCCTCGCCCCGCCCCCGGAGGTGCTAGCACGCTCCCCAAACTAGCACCTAACATAAGCCACAACTCAAGCTTTAATTGTGATCGTTACGGGACCTCTTAGTAACTGCGGATGGGAAACTCCACATACTGAAGTGAGGCTATTCAAGAACAAGGCATCAACTGCCATCGGATTCCTAGTCCGCTACATAGATACTTGCAGACATGGAGCGTCTCCAGCACTCGTCTGGTTTGTTCACTGAACACAGGCCTCATGGGCTTCTGCTGGTACTATAGAGCTGGAATGTTTAAATCATAAATAGTAATCAGGTTATAAGTTTAAAAAACATTAATACATTTAAGTTCAAGATGGACATTTATCACAATAATGAACCAGTTAACTGGTTTAAAACTCTCCCCCCACCCCCTCGGCCACACACACACCTCAGCACCCATGAACGTTGGAGGGAAAGCGCCCATCATCTCCTCATTACCTTGAGCACAGGCTGGTGGTTACCCTGTTTCGTTTTCCGTGACCTATGAAGGCTATTCAACTTGGAATATCACCTTTAATTATGCATATCTTGGCTGTATTTAGGGAAGTACTGAAAAGTACTGGATTCGGTGAGAGTTATTCAGCATTAGTGAATCCAGTGGGTAATTACATTTTTCAATTATTTTTAGGATAAAGCAAGAATTTAAAGTTGAACAAATCAATTTTAAAGTAAAATGATATCTGGAGCATATGCCCTTTTATAGACTACATATTAACAACTCTCACTTTCAACAGCTAACCACTTATTCAGAAATCCCAACATTGAAATTTCTTTCCCTGTTAGCTTCAATACTTTGTGCATCCTCAGGCCCTTATTTCCAAATCCCAAGTTACCAAAAAGCCACATACTCTGAAATTCAAGATGTCCAGCATGGCAATGGAAAGGTTATAAAGAAAATTAAAAACGTATAAGGAAGCATAAGTATAAGCATCTTTTCCTTTTTATGATCTGAAATCTAAGAATATTTTCTGCCTTAAGCCTTTTTTTTTTAACAAGTTTCTCTGACCACTTTTTCTTTTTAAATGAGAATTGCTTTAACACTAGGGAGATGCAGTAGCAATGACCATAATTTTCCTGAAAATGACAAAAATAAGACCTACCTCTGTATGAACAGCTCCCCAACACACTATAAAAAAGATGAAGCCCCTAATGGAAAACCTCCAGCTGAGGAGGGGCTGTGAATATGGGAAAGGATGGAGAGGAAAGAAACCGACTTGACCCTCTAAGTACTTTAAAACAAAAGGAATTTTAAAGTCAAAAAGCTGCTCACCTATTGTATGTAGGAAACCCCAAGAGATTATTAATAAAGAGCAAACAACCAAATTTCACAGGCATTATTATACAGGAAAAGTGGCGGGCTCAGCCAATACATACAGAAACAAACAGTTCAACATAAAATCTACCAAACCGGCAAAGATGCACTTGGCGGTGTGCGAACAGCAAAACTTATTGTCGAGAGAGTAAATTTTTTGTAGCCTTTCCAGAGGGGCAATTTAGAAACACTTCAGGAGTCCTATCTCTGGATGTAACAATTTATCCTAAGGAAACGGTCAGAAATGTGTGAAAGTATTTAAGGAAATCCACAACAGGACTGTTTGTAG